GGGGGGGGGGGGGGTCTTTTTATTCCCCCGGTGGGGAATTTTTTGAAAAAATCCCGGGGTTTTGAAATTTTTGGGGCGTTTTTTTCGGGGGGGGGGGGGGGGTTCCCCCACGGGGGGTTGGGGAAATTCAGGGGACCCCCCCAAAAAACCGCGTCATTTTTGTTCGGGGGTTTTGGGTTTGGGGGTGGAAAAAATTAGGCCGCCCGAAGCCCTCAAAAGAAGGAAATTTTTTGGGTTTTTATTGGGCCCGAAAATTTTTTTAAAGAAAGAAAATTTGGTTTTTTTTGGGCCCCCTAAATTCTTATAAAAAAATTGCGCAAAGGGGCCCCCTAAACCCCCTTTTTTTGCGCTCCATTTTTGTTCGGGGGGGGGGGGGGGGGGCTGGGGTGTTCCACGGTTTCCACATGGAGGGCCCCTCAGCCCTTGCTGTACTCGCTTCAAAACTACAAAATTATGCTTCAAGAATAACAACGAATCAACCATGCTGCCGAGAAGATAGCACCGGCTGTCCTTTACCTTTTCGAGCTGGTGGTGGTGAAACGCCATGCCTTTCTTCTCTCCGCCGTTGTGTGTATGGGTGCAGTTGGAGTGGTAGTGCCTCCTGGAAGCGATTCGTGCCTGTCGAAAATTTCAAAATATTGTCGGGTGGAAATGCCGGAAAATCCTGTGTCGACGAGATGCATCGATACTGCGGTACACAGAATGGCATGCACGCCAAGGTGCCAGGCATGACCGCGCTTGTCTGCAGTCGATTGCCTCAAGAAGCGCTCATGGCGACAAGATAGTTGGCAGCTGCAGCGATCGTTCCGGCAAGAAAAGTGTTCACTGCCGTTCTCGCCTAACCAATACCCTCTCCGCCGCCATGGTAAACGACAGCGGTAACTCACCGCATCCCTGTAGGTGCAGTCCCGGGAGGTGCACACGCTGCCCTTTTCCACCACCACCCACAGGTCTTTGTCGAGGCCGTCATCGTCATCATCGCCTCCCTCGAAGGGCTTCAGGCGTGCCAAGGAAGGCACGGGGCTGTGCACCGGCTGTTTGCAAAAAAACAAGGACAAAAGTAAATAGACACAACAGGGTTGTACGCCGTGAACAACGAACGGCCTCTGACTCCACAACAGCAACAGCAGTGGAGAGGGAGGTGATACTTGCTTACGTCATCCCAGCACTGACAGAGCCTCATACCCGTGACACCAAGAAGCATGCAAGGAGCAAGAATTATGGTGGTCGTGACACCAACAACGAACATGGTGATGGTGGCACACCGTGAGAGGGCCCACTTGTACATTACAACCATGTACAAATATGTTCTTCGACGTGCAGGTAGGCAGATAGAGAAGCGTCAAACGCGCAGCATACCTTGGGCGCGTCAACCAAGGCAGGCGGAGTACTGGCGATGTTCCTTCCGGCGGCAGCTACACCGGCTTGCTCGGGCCCCGAGGTCACGGCAGCCGTCGTTGTCGTTGGAGCCTCCAGCTGAGCCCTCGTTCCCAGGTCGACAGATGTCCCCAAGCCCACCGACATGAGCGCCTGGACGGCGCTTACCTCGTCCATTGGCCGCTGCTCCATCGGCAAAACGCCTTGTTCCGACTCCGCCGCTGCTGGGGTCCTGCTCGCTTGCACGTTGTTGTTCACGCCGCCCCAATCCCCGGGTTTGGTCGTAGCAAACGCCTCGGGTTCTCCCACGTGCCACTGCGACGGCGGCGTGGGTGGTTCGGTCATCGCGGGCGACAGGGGTCCCAAGGCAGGCGGCCCTCCTCCTGATCCGGCGAAGGCGGGGGGTCGGCAGTGAAAACCCGTCACGTTGACCCCCTTGCCGGGCGAAAAGCGCGGCGTGAGGCGAGCGGTGTCGAAGTACGGGGCCCTCCCAGAGGTCGAGTACGTCGGAGACGGGGTCAACCCCATCATTGCCATGCCGTCCTGCTGCTGCTGCTGCGCTGGGCCGCCGCTGCTGCTGCTGCTGCTGCTGTCCAGAGCCTGGCTGAGCCGCATCCGCTTGATTTCCTCGAAGGGACGCGTGTCCGCATCGGGCATGACACCCATCGCCGAGCTCTGAGAGACCAACCCAGCGACAGAGGAGCCTGTAGCGGGTGCCTCGCCCTGGCCGCGGACGTTGACGAAGTAGGACGCCCTAAGCTTTGGCGCCCAGTCCATTGCATTGCTGCCACTGTGTTTTGTGTACCGTAGCAGAGAGTGCGGGCGAGGAAGAAACACGATGGATACAAGCAAGAACCCGGCTTGTGATTGTCGGTTGGGGGGCAATTGATTTGTCAAGTCAGGTTCACAGGTGCACACCAAATAATCATACTAATACATCTACTCTCAGGTGGAAGTAACCCGTGCTCTTCGTTTTCTGCAGACCCTTCAGGTGGTGTGATGCTGCAGAGAAAACAAACCGCGCTCTGTCTGGTGAAGGTGCGTGTTAGTGTGAATGTTCGAAAAAAAAAAATGCCTGCCGCCAAACAGGAGGCCGACACGAACGAACGCCGTTTTTTTTGCGTGTGAGCGAGCGCCTGACTAAATAACTGCTGCCAGGCTTCTGCGAAACGTGAGAGAACGTGTTCCAAGTTTGGCACGGCATGAAAATCCAGACGCACCTTGGATCCCGCGTTCCAAAGTCGATGGCAGACGTGAGCCCGGTACCCCACGGTGGGGCGGTGCTGCGGACACGCCAAGACCGCGGCCGGTCGGGTGCGATGCTCGGCTGAAGAGGGGGTTCTAGCGCCTGGTTTGCAAAGGAAACGAGGGCAGCAAGCAGTTCAAGAACGGATCTAAACCATGCGGCATATGCCATATCACTAAAACGCCTCTCTCGACTTCGTCAGACAGTTTGACGATCGAAACCACACACACAAGAAGAGCAGAAGTATCGGCGTATCTGATGCCACACAATTTGGCAGGCAACGGCGGGCTGGTTTGGGATTTGAGTTGGTCCGTCGAATTTGCTCTGCAGGGAAAAATGGGCGACAGAAAGTAAAAGGAACTACTCTCAACACGCGTTAGCTTCACCTGCGCGGGCGCGCGCGAGGTGAAGGAGCTGCAACTTCTTTCAAGTTTCATTCAAAACCAGCGGCAACATGTGTGCCACGGTGCTGTTCGAGTGAGATCCAAAAGAAAGCATTCGTTATGTGCCGCCGCCCGCCGCCAACGCGTCGATTCCCCTCTCAAACAGGCGAAAAATTAGTTGCCACCCACAGAGCGAACGAACAAGTTGGTTGGTTGCCTGGAGAGGAACGACGCAAGAGCCAAACAACCAGGAAAAAGGCACGCTTTCCGCCAACGATGGCAGTGAGTAGCGGCCCTCTGCTGCGCGCGCACATCGTCAGTAGGAGTCATGCTGCACGCCTTGCCCTGGCCATAGGAACACGGAGCATCCATCCCCGTCGTAATATTCAGCGGCAGAAATTCTACAAACCACGTCTTCTTTGGGGGAACAACGTTCAAAAAAACACTCGGGTCACCCCAACACAGCCGGCCGCCACCCAAGTTTCGGTACTAATTTTTTGTAGCACTGTTCGGAGGCAAAAAAATCACACCGTCGAAATAAAGAGCCTGGCTTTACCTCGAACCGCCGACCCTCGGGGATAGCGTGGTCGCGAAGGCCAGGCGCCGGGGCGCCGGAGGAGAAGCCGCTCTTGTTGCGCCAGTTCGAGACCGCCCTCGACCCCGCAGCAGAAGACGACGAACACGACTCTCCGGCCGTAAGCATGTTGGGTGCCGAGTTACACCGGCGGTGCTGTGATAGGCTCTTCCATGCAGCAATCGCCACGCCCTCCGACGGGAGGTTGTTGCTAGGGCAGTTGATCTCGCCAAAGCCGCCCCCGTGGCTGCTGCTGCTGCTGCTGCTGCCGGGAATCTTCACAGCATCACCACGATCCAGTAGCAGGACGGACACAACCCCCCCCGAGAAAAAGGGGCAGAGGAAATTAATGTCGTGTGTCCAATACGTAGCAGACTCCTTCTTGCTTTAGCTCGCAACAAACAAACATCGGCAGTGGCAAGTTGGGGGAGGAACCGAAGGTGCAAATGTGATAGCCACAGAAGCTCGCTCACCACACGCGAAAGGCGACAGGCAAGCGCACACCATCGCCCACATGGTATGTACATAGATCTTCACATACCACCGATCGATCGCGAAGAGACTCACAAAAAACTAAATCGTATCTCGTTGCTGGGTGTCGCACATCAAAAACAAATTTTGCTGCAAATGAAGTGGCAACAAGGACACACACACGGATTGCTGTTTCGATCGGATCGAAATGAACGCCGATGAAGGAGACACGAGGAAGAAACGTGTGTTGGCTCACATGACTGCTGTCCTCTTGTTCCTCTTCGGGGAACGGCCGTGCACTAGCGTCTTGCAATCCAGGTTGCCCGGTGGGTCTTCCCATGGAGGTCGGCCGACCTCCTCCGTAACCCAGGCTGCCGTGTGTGACAAGACGCGGTGCTACTGGCTCGGCTTCCTTGGCGAAGGACAAGGGACCTGCCACCGTTAGGGCCAACCCCCCCGCGTGACCAAAGCTTCTCTCCCTCTCCGGCACATGTTGCTTTCGGAAGTCGAGTTGGCTCCTGTCCATGCTCTCTCGAGTTGCTGCCGGTGTGCGGTAGGCGCGTCGTGAACAATGTGGCTCCAGCTGCTGGTCTGGCAGTGCTCGCCTGAAAAAGAAAAAAAAAATGCTGTTGTATTTCGGCCGCATGTCACTGGTTCTTCTCGTTGCAGGCAGGTGGATCACCGCGGCCGGCTTCCTGTGAGCACCGCGGGTCATGTGTTGCTGCTACTCCCGTGCAGAAAAGGCGTGACCGCAAAGGACGCTGGCAGGTGTTCCCCGTGTGTTCTATATCACGAGCACAGCAGTAAGGAGCGCCATGCGGCGGCCCTGTTCATACATGTACAAGAAGGTCGTGCGCGAAGTATGGGACACTACAAGATGGGCGACTCGATTTTGTTGCTGATTTTGGCGAATATACATGTAAATCTAACCCAGAGATGTGCCGAGATGTGCTGTGCATAACGTGCAGCAACAACGCGCGATAAGGTAGCCGTTGCTGCTGCTGCTACTGTGTTCAAGGTATACCCACCGTCGGACAAAGCCCTTTTTCAAGCTCATCTACTCCCCAACATCCGGACAGATCAACCATGTATGTGCAGGACGAAGCATCACTTACAAACAAAATGTGTGTTGCGTTGTATGTAGTATGCATATATACGTTGGGTGTTCGCTCGAATAGGTTGTGTCCGCATGGCGTCCGAATGGGAAAGGGAGGAGCGCCTAGACCTCGCTTTTTCCTCTCTGCCTGAGGCTGGTGTGATACTATCATTCCCCCGTAATTGCTTCCAAAAACGTTCCTGGTGGGGTCCTCTGCCCTTGCTGGATGAGGGCGTGCCCGATTTTGGAGGAAGCCCAACATGCCGTCGCAACGGTTTACAACGACACACACGCCAGCAAACAATTCATGAAAAGGGTGGCGCTGCTGCTGCTGTGGTTGATGTTTCGGCGGCTCCGCACGCCGAGCTTCAAGCTCGTTTTGCTCCCCCTCTGGTTTGTCATAATATGCCGTCTCGGTGCCGCATCGCTGCTGTGCGTGTACGGGGTTAGTTATTGCTCGGCCCGATATAACGACGACAGCTGAACGACGATTGATTTGAAATGTAACGTACAACGTACTGACGGACGACGGCGGACGACGGCGCGTGATATTTAAAGAAAGAAGGTCTCCAGAGGGAGGCGATTCGAATCCTTAAATAATTTTACGCGTTTTTTTTTTCTTTCCGTTCTGAAATGAACTTGCATGTACTGTACGCAGAGGTCGGTCGGTCGTGGTCGGTTGAAGTCCTCTTTGGCATCGAGGGTGCGGTGGCGAAATAATAAAATATCAGCAATCAATGCGTATCATATCTATCTAAGCAGCGTATGCAACACGTTGCTGTTGTTGTTGTACGCAAGCGGTGAGTAAACCTTCATCATGTAGCAAGATGAGGAACCAAACGAGGAGACAACAGCTTGCAGTTAATATATATAGTAAACAATAACCATTTCATCACACTACTACTCTGTACCCGCACCGAAGGGGGAAGGTTGGAGAACCAAAACAAGTGACAACCTCCTTCTTTCTGTTTGTGTGACCCTCTGGCAGGTGCTCAACCAAACATTAGATCTGACTGTACATATATATCTACATAAGCCGGTCGCCCCGGTGGTCTAGTTTGCATCCCTGCTAGAGGTCAGGTCAGGGGTTCGAATCCCGGCGTAAGCGAGCTTTTCTTGCAAAGTGAGTTTTTCTCTCGCTTCCGCTCCTCTGGCCTATAGTGGATAGCGCTAGTTCGTGTGTACACAGGGTTAGGGTTAGAAGAAAGTGCTGCACTCTTCTCGCATTCAAAGTCGAAGGCAAAGTACCGCAGGAGGGGAGGGTAAAGAAGGACTCTTCTGTGTGACCACGGGTTGGAGTAAACGGCACTAATGCTGTGAGCGCTGATAATGAAGTAAAGACAAAAAAAAAAACTACATCATCTGGGCGCCGGACGTAGGTGCAGACCGGCGACAAGAAGAATGGACGGGACGAAACACACGCTCATCATCCCTTGTACACATGGATATCAGAGACGTACCACCCAGTCGCCCGGTGGTCTACGCTAAGCGAGCACTAGCTGTTTCGTGCTTTTTTTGCCTCAAAAACGAACTACAACAGCAGATTGTAAATATATGTAGTCGGGCGTTGCAGAGTTCCTGCTGCGTCTGCTATATTTCCGTGGTGACAACACTTTTCGATTTGCAGTGGAAAGCGATTAGACTGATGCGCGGGGGAGTGTAGTTTAGACACTTCACGACCGACGAGGGAAAGGGACGGTTCATCCAACTTGGTTCATCAGCCCTTTTCGCGACGAACACCGAGTAGAAGGAGACACGCTGAGGAGTGAAAAAAGGTGGGGCAAAAAAAAGTTCCATCGTGACCCCCTCTAATAATAGACTAAATAGAGGCTACACAAATGAAACATCACCGACCGGCGTTTAGACCGTCGCCAGAATAGATGCGACGGACACAACACGCACACGCCGGAAAACAAAAGGCAGACGCCGTCCATCTACTTGCTTGAAGCGTTGACACAATAGAGCGATACGTCATCACCGGCTGGCTTAAGCAGTTAGCAGTCATGCAGCCGGGAAGCATTTATTGACCGTTCAGAAAACCTGCTTACAGACGCGAGTGGAGCTCCGACTCAAGCTGTCTCCCGCCCACGAACGGATCGGACCGGACCGGACAGTCCAAGAATCTCCAAAGATGGTCAACGTCCATGTCTAGCACGCTCTGTTGTTGTGGATGTTTTTGTGACAGAAAAAGTCCGTACCTCCGTACATTATCTTGCTTACTGCTTACCCCCGAAGGCAGAAATGTATTTGTGTGGTCACAACCATTCCTTGGCCTGGCCCATGAAACCGCCTGAGGGCGGGATTCGATTCCGCCCTGCCCCAACACCCGACATGGTTACACACACCGGTGTACATCAAACCCAATGCCACGGTTCCAGCGACCGTAGTTCAACATCACACAGACAGCACGTTCACTTCCTCTGCCTCGCAGCAAGCACAGCAAGGACCTCGTCTTCTTGCTCCTCTAAACTGCGTGCGGTTGAACCCTTGGACGCCCTCGAACCCTTCCCATGAGCCTTCGGTGCTCTCTGTTCTGGCATCTCTTCACCGTCGGATGAATCGCTTCCTATGCCCCCGTCGTCGCCGTCTGCACTAGATTCTGACCCCTCGCCATCATCTTCGTTAGCATCAGAGCCCCCGCTGCTTTCGCTGTCGCTGTCAGCATCGCCGTCAGAGGACGAGCCACTGCCGAGGGTGGGGGCTTCCGCCAACTCTTCCTCTTCCGTGTCCTTATCCTTCAGCCGGCGCTTGAGGTGCTTCTCTCGGACGCGCTCTCGGTCGCGCGCCTTGTCTTCCCCTGTGAGGCGCCAATGATGCATGCCATGTCGAGAGCAACGAAGCCAAGTGCAACGCGAGGATAGCCCGCACAGGACAAGCAGTGGGAATTTGCTGAGCACAACAACGCGGAGGCTTCGGGCTTCAGGGTGTACAGTTAACCATTGCGGCCAAGAACAAAACGGTACATGGACATCGTCGTTACTTGACAGTCAAGCATGCCCAAGGCAAACGCCGGCATCGGCGGTGCGTGCGGACTCGTAACGAGGCGTTTGACTCTAAACAGCTTCACAGGCCACATCACCGTACTTACCGTCGACAGCTTCCAGTCTAGCCTTGATCCTCTTCACATATGCTTCGCTGGCTGCGGGCAAGCTAGCGGCATCACTGGCGCTGGATGCACTACCTGTGGGGACACCGGTCTCCTTCGCGAAAGCCTGTAGCGGCGAGATCACATCCTATGAAACATAAGAGTTAAAGCGGCCAAACCACGGGGATAGGGTGCGACGAGGGAGCGAGGGCCGGTCAGTGAGTCACCGCGACAAGACACGTGCAATGTGAACCAGTCCACCAACTTCTGCGGAAGACACCAACTGTTAGCTCCATTCTTTTTCTCGTGCACACGCAACAGCGTCTTTTGCAGTCAGTTAAAGCAAGGAAAGCCACCAAAAACCGCCCAGATCTAGAATCGTCATATTCCCGGCGCAGCCAACCGAGTCCCAAGTGTCTCTAGCAGAAATTCATCCAAACAAGACACAGGTACCTCCAGCGACTCCCGATTCAATAAAAACACCCAAGAACAGACAGACAGACAGACAGACAGACAGACGGGAACGGCCCCACGAAAACGTACCACGGCAGCACCGTCCTCGTCGAAGACCCTCTTCGTTGCAACGCCTGCCGCCGCAACGCCGTCGCTTGTGATCCTCATCTTCTTCTTCCTCTTCCGCTGGAGCTCCTCGGCGCCACCATCCTCTTCCAGCTCCGCCCCACTCCCGACTCCTTCCGAGCGCTCCGTTTGCACGAGAACAAGACCGCCGTCTGCCTCTGAGCTATCCGAGTCTTCGCCATCGCTGCTGCTGCCGTCGCTGGTGGCTGTTCCCTTGACCGCCCGGGCTTTCGTTTTTCGAGGTTCCAAGCTGGCCTTCGATGCCTCCTCGAGCTTGCCTTTGCGCTGTACGAACACGTAGGGCCGGATGGAGGAAGGAGGAGCTTAGGCAACTATTTCTCGTGTACGTCCGGCCGCCATCGGCACCAAGGGGTATGAACACAGAGGGTCTCGGCGGTATACGCCTCCACGGGTAACGAAGCCATTACAAGATAAAAAGCATTACTTCATGACAAAATGGCATCTGCAAATACGCATGCGCATACGCATACAGCACGGATATACTCGCATTGTTACAGTGCCGTAAGGCGGGAGTTACTGTGGAAAATCGGGCATGGTGAGGATGATGGTTGCGCATGACGTGTGGAAAATGTTTCTTGTGGCGTTTGGTGTGGGAACGCCCGAATTCGACCATGCATGAAGGTGCCATTTGGTCCGAGACAACCCATTCGCTTGTCGTCGTTTACCGACACAGCCGAGATGGTTTTGTGTAGAATATACCCGTTTGGAGAACGCCAAGGTGGGGGAGAAAACCACAACTCGGAAACGTTCCACAATCTACAAGGTGAGCGACAAAATGAAAGAACAGCGTCGACTCACCAAGACCGAGGAAAACTACTCAACCGGCACAGCCGAGATGGCAGGGTCTACCCGTTTGGAGAAAGCCAAGACTATTCTAGAAGGGAGAGGAAACCAAAAGCCGGAGCGATTGTGCCTCTCGCTGGCGCACAGGGACAATTGTTGTTGATCGATTGGTGCTAACAAGGAGTGCGCAAGGCGCAAGAGAACGCAGCGAGAGTAGTAGCACCAGCGGGAGCGCCTAGGCACAAAAAAGACCGGCCGTGTGCTGTGAAAGGGCCAAAGCGGACAGTCGAATATGCTCTAAACTCAAGTGATCCCGGCCAACGCGAAGAAAAACATTTCAGGACAAAGGAACGGCACGGCATTGGCGGTCGAATGTGTTCTAAATCCAAGTTAATGGAAATGTTAGCCTGTGAGAGGCCGAGAGGAATCACTTTGCCGCGAAGGGTAAGCTTTCAGCTTGAACACTCTGGCGGTCTGTCAGCAACGCATACGACGAAAGTCAATCAAACAAGTTGTGAACACCTAGAGTACCCCATCACCTCAAGACGTTTTCGAAGCTTGTCCGCCTTGATTTGTTCCTTCAGACGCTGCAGCGATCGATTCACGTTCTTCTTTGCTCGGGCCTCCTCCCGCTGTCTCTCGTTCTCCGCCCCTCCTCCCCCATCCCCCGGGCCACCTTTCTTGTCCTCGCCGCTCCCGCCCGAAGGAATGTTTACGAGCGCTTTCTCTAGACCCGGAACTCGTGGTGCGGCCGCCAGGCCGAGAGAAAACGCGTACTCCTCCAAGGGGAGTTCCGACAGACGGAAGGCCTGGTGGTCCGAGGGACACGAGAAACATCACCGGGGTGAGCACTGGCGCCTCCATTCTGTGTCTGTGGTGGGTGCGAAGGATAATGATGGACCACAAACGCTGCGCGCACCACGCACTCCACGACAGTCGTACTCACGTTGGCCGGTCAGCAGCGTTAAGATCGACCATACTGGTTGCACCACCGCACCTGCTTGTTAGGCATGAGCTGCACGGCCCTGACGTAGGACGTGAAGGACTTCTCCGCGAGTCGCTTCTTGTCTGGATCAGACGCCACAAGCGCCGACGCTTTCTTGCCGACTGAACCCGCCATGCGCACCTGCACTCATAAGTGGGAGTAGAGGCACCCGATCCAGCAACGAATTCGAGAAACGACTTGGCCGGCTTCACAAAAGAAACGGTATGTACCATTGCTTGGGCAATGCTATGGCCGACGTCAAGCTCCGGCATAATCAATAGAACTGTCGAAGTCGCCGGCTTCTACCCCGACAAAACTTGGCATCCATTCGCTCCAGAGGAAAACGGCACTTTGCTGGGGTGTTGCAGCAAACTTGTCTGGTTTCCCGCCAGGGGTTTATGTACAACACGGAATCCACACGAAAGCAAGCAAGCACGAGAGACACAGAGCGCAATCGCCGACCTTCTCGGGATTGATGGTGAGCCTCTTGATGGGAATGTTGTTGGGTTTGAGCCCGGCCAGCACCCCTTCCTCCTCAGACGGCAGCATCATCAACAGAGCGCGACCGCCACTCTGAAAGCATCGACCAGAGCCAAGAAGGGTATGCACGCGACGTAGAGACAACAGTGGGCAGAATGGTGAGAACCATCAAGAGTTTCTCGAGCGTCAAAGAAAAGACCTCAGGACGGGGTTCCCACCCGAACAGCCCGGCCGATGGCACGTTCGCGCCGACGAGCAGGGGAGTAAGGCTGACATGCACCACGAGCCCAAAAAGGCATTTTCGGTGGCGGTCGGCGGCATGTACCACTATCGAGAGCCTTTTGGTAGCTGTTCCAAGACGAACTCACGTTGTAACGTGCAGTCCGCCCTACACGGTGGATGTACCCCTCCGCATCCTCCGGAGCGTCGACCTAGAGAACAACAGCACGAACAAAGCACACCGAGAGGCAGTGACGGTTCGAGGGGACGGCCGAAGGGGTTTGACCGAGACCACCAAGAAGAGCATGACGCCTTTCGCTCCAACACAGGTCAGGGTTACCTCCAGTTTTTTTCTCTTTCTTTTCAAGGGTCTGGATGGCCACAGCGCTGCATACACCTGCACTTTAACTTAAGCCTTGTCCATGTACACCACGTTCCCCAACTGCGAGAAACTAGGGGCCAAGATGTGCGAATCGGGGAAAATAATACACCTCATGACGCAATTCCATTTACCTGAATGACCCAATCCACTGACGGGAAGTCGAGCCCTCTCGCAGCGATATCAGTCGCCAGCAAAACCGCCCCTGGTCTCCGCACGAAGTCGAGGTAGATCTGCGTCCGCCGGGCGTGCTTGCACTTCCCGTGCAGGGCCATAACTGGCATCCCTGGCTGCAAGGCGCACAGGAGCTCGAACGCAAATCGAACCTGCCCGCGCGCGCGAGAAAGAAAGAGAAAGGAGAGGCGACGGCAGCTATTCGGTTACGGGCGCACGGTGGTGAACGTCGCGCAACAAGCACGCGGCAAACACGCGTGGGCACACGGTACTCCAGCACCCGTACAGTATCCCACTGATACGTAAGTGAGCAGGTCACCACGCTAAAACCCATCCGATTACAGCAACGCACACAAATAGAACAGGGCCAATTGGATGGCTTGGTGAACAGGAGCGGTGGCTTGGATTGGAGTGAGTGACCTCCGTCCAAAGCGACGGGAAACTCGAAAATCAAAGCCTGCAGACCTGAGCGCAGGAGGTGAAGAACACGATCATTTTGCTCTTGAGGTGAGTCTTGATGAAGCCCAGCAGAACGTCCAGCTTCTTGTCTAATCGGCACACCACGTAGTTTTGGACAAGCTTGGCCGGCGTCGCGCACTCGTCCTTACCAGCACGGACGGCCACGTACTCTACGTTGCCCTGCGTGTGTGCGAAGGCGTCGAGCATTGCGAGAACGAGCAGCTGGTGACATGATCGTTCTATGAACAAAACCGAAAGTTATTATAGTATTGGGGCGTATTTAGCGCAGCAAGAGGTCAGGACGTGAGCAATGGTGTCCGTCCGTCTCACGGGATTTCTTTCCTACACCTGAGACGCTTGTGTATCCATCTGGGTGCGGCGGTAATTACGGCAGCAATTACTGAACGTCAACTGCTACGCTCGAAATTAAAAAAATATGGGTTGTGCACACTTCAACAAGCCCAGCACATATATACGAGGATGCAGGCCATCGATGCTGAGACGCCAATAGGCTGACTGACTGATCCCACATCAAAACACGTGTCAAGGCACCAAAATATTTAGCTACGATTCCGAGGTGCGTGTTTGATCACTTCAGACAACTCTCTGTACCTCACCTTTCTGAGGGACAACCTAGCCAGGTCCTTGATAGACTTCGTCTGCGTGGCGCTGAAGAGCATCGTTTGTCGGGAGGGCGGCAGGTACTCTAGAATGCTGTTCAGCTGGTCTCGGAAGCCCATATCCAATATCCTGTCAGCCTCGTCCAATACCAACACCTGACATTCACCAAAGCGTGCAAAGTGTAGTGTCCCACAGAAGCGGAGATGAAATGGCCCTTTGAGGTACCGATGTTCAGCCTTGGCACACCAGCACTGCACCCCCAACGCACCAACCGAAACCGAGAAAAAGCGTGAAACGAAAAGAACTGCCTGCCGGGTTTCCATCCAGCACGTTGCTATTTTCGTTGCGTGTATCCGCAAGGAGGCATGGGGCTGACTGAGCCTGGCGTCTCAGCACCACCTGCTGCTGTAACCACTCCAAAGGCTGTACGTACCGTACATGGCAGCGGATATCACACAAACACACAGGACTTCCCTATTGTACACATTACTTTTGTCGTCGCACACCTGCAACAAGGAGGGGTCGAAGCCTGGTGTCTGCTCCAGGTGCTGGAGCAAACGCCCCGGGGTTGCCACGAGGATATTCATCTTGATAACAGACGCCTGCTCCTCGCGGAACTCCTTCTTGCCTCCCGTGATCAACCCTGCCGACAGCTGGTGGTGCTTCCCAAACTCGCGCAGCACCTCGAAGATTTGGAGGGACAGCTCCCTCGTAGGGGAAATCACCAAGGCTGCAAGGCCATCTCTACACCGGCATCGACGGAGCGAGCATCGGAGGCAAATAGGACAGCAGTGCAAGCGCGAAACGATCAAGCACGACGCATGAGCTCGCCAACGGTGCGCGGCAACATACTCGTTTCCTATGAAGCGGACCTGGGCCAAAGCAAAAGCCTGCGTCCACATGCAAGCACCCTCACGGCCTCAAAGACCTACGATCGTGTCGGACCCAACACTAGTGCATGCCTCCTCTTTCAGCACTCGGGACAAACGTTCGCTGCGTGGTACGGGAGCAGAATCAACGGCAGTATTGAGTTTTAGGGACGCCTTGGTCAGAAGGAGTCCAAGTGGGCAGACTTAACTATGCCGCTGCTGCATGACAGAGAGCAATAAAACGTGTGCATGCTTGTTACAGCAACGTCTCACCCGAATGTGATGCGGCTGCGGTAAAGCTTCTCCACGAGCGGAACCAGAAACGCCAGCGTCTTGCCCGAACCGGTCTTCGCTGCCCCCAGCACGTCCCGTCCGGCCAGAGCATGCGGGATGGCAGCTACCTGAAATGGACGACATCAACGCAGGACGGCAGCGGGTTCACGTCGGCACAGCAGTTACACAAGCACAACGGCCACAACACACGACCACAGGAAACCACTGCTGAAGTCTGCGTAGGCTACTGCTGCTGTACATAGGCTACTGCTGTTGTACAAGCTATCTGCATGCCACAGCCGTGACGCCACTGAACCAAAGGGGCCCACGCTCTCGTGCCCAGCATACCTACCCGCCACGGGGTCGGCCACTGCAGGTCGTTGTAGCCCTGAGTCACCATAACTTCGTCCATAGCTCACAGCTTGTTTCGAAGAGCTGCTACAATTTAGTTAGACAAGGTTGTGCTAGCTGCAGGAGTTGCTCAGGCAAGCGTGGCACAGGTCTCAACTTCAGTCTCCCACAGCTCACTGGTGGCTGGAGTGTACATAGCACTAGGACGTCTGCTGCGTACCTGTATCTCAGTCATGGTTTTGAACCCTCCGCCAGTCAGACCTCTTGTCGTTCGCTGCGAGAGCGGCAAGGCAGTGAACGGCTGCCGATCGCCAGTGGACTCCGTAAAAGGTTGCGTTCCACGAGCAGGTGCGGTGGCCACGACCTGGGCCTCCAACTCGGCCACCTCCTGTGCTTCATCAACTTGCTCGATCACTGGCTCCGCGCGCTTTCGCTTGTTCTTCATCGTGATGTAGAAGCGTTCAGCAGCGAACGACACACTCAGGCACACGCAAAGAGAGGCCGGAGTGCCCTTGTGGTGAAAGTAAGCGCACCGATGTCAGCTGGACGCCGGCTATGGGCTGAGCTGTCTCTCTTGCCTGGTGCGGGGTCATCGCGATAAGGAATGTACAGCATCCGCATATGCACGATCTATCAAATTCGTTCGTTGAGCCCCCCCCGCCAACTACTGCAGCTTGGTTCGTCGTTCGTTCGTGCTGCGCGTACTTTCGTGCGCAGTGTGATCTCTCTCTCTACCGCGGACAAGTCTACGCGACGCCGGTAAGAACACGATAGCAAGAGGAGATGGAGGTGTTGGCCATGGATTAATCTTTCCTCTGGCCTCGAGTGTTAGTGAGGTGCCGCACTCCGCCCTCCGACGTTTGTGCGCATGTTGAACGTTCAACATGGCTCTTGCATGCTACACTAAAATAGTGGTAACCTGCTGGTGTGCACGCATGCTCGCTGGTCCGTCGACAAGCCCTTTCTCCACTGCAGCAGCTGCTAAAGGAGTGCACCACTTCCCCACCCGCTGCCCGTCTTTCGCTGCTGATTTTATCTACCCAGTCAAGGCTTGCCGGAGAGGTCGCACACCTCCTTCCTCATCACTTTATCCAGGATGGCCTCCTTCCTGAGCCAAATGGTTGTACGGCACAGGGCGGGTGTGCGGATCTTGCCAGCCTTTGGGAACACCAGCAGGTGAGTGCATTGGCTTTACCCAATCTTGACTCTTCTCCTGATGCCCACGGGCCACCAGAGCCCTTTTGCTTATTTCGCTCAACGGCATTAATTGAAAACCGCCTTGTAGTTCTGCGGTACTGCATGGCGTGCTGGGGCACGCCTTCTGTCATCGTGTGCCTCTCCAGCCTGCATTCGGGAGTGGGGTAAGAGCCTACCCCTCCATGTCCGTGTATCGCAGCCATGCTTTCACGCTTGACCCTCTTGGCCACAGCACACGATGAGGTTCCGTCTAAACATCTCCTTATATTTTGGATCCTGTGAAATGGCAGGAGACTGCTTTCCTCGCACTACCAAGAGGCTCGAAACGTGAAGATGATGGGAGAGACAAGGAGCATGAACGGTATCGACGCAACTGTCCGAAATGTGAGATAGCAGAACCTCGTCCTCCTGGCTGGCGTAACACGCTGCCTTGCGTTTGCCGGCGGTCGCCCGGAACACCGGTAGAATACATAGCATCCTTGACATGATGCAAATGCCGTAGGTAGGGTTTTTCGCTAGGAGCCGACGACTACATCTCACAAAATATTTTCTCGCGCAGCAAGATGTTCCCTCCTGTACTGTACAAATATCATATTCCTACCTGTACCGTATTTTGCGGAAGGAGAGCAAGCCACACACCCAGCTCTTGCACCCGTCGTATGAAGATGCCAGGCAGTCAAGCACCACATTGAGCTAACTCGTGAAAAAATTCAGTCAACATTGTTCCGTCACCGTCCTGGTATGTAGTGAGAATGATGGGGCTGTAAGAGGACCCTAGTGAACATGGCGTTATTTGTCGTCATTTCCAACAGGACTGGACGAAGGAAGAGATCAGGGAGGTGTACGAAATGCCTATGCTGGAGCTCCTGTACCGGGCTTCTTCGGTCCACCGCATGTTCTTTGACCCTACCGAGGTCCAGCAGTGTACGCTCTTGTCCATCAAGACCGGCGGCTGCACGGAAGACTGCGGGTACTGCTCTCAGTCCGTGCGACATAAGACATTTGTCAAGCCTACCCCTCAGATGAAGGTGAACACCCGCTGGCAGAGAGGACGCCACGAGCTGCGGGTTGCGGTTCATGCTTTGCTTACAGTAGCGTGTTCCTTTGTTCCAACCAAAGAAAGAGCATGACCTTGACTTTCGTTGACGATTTGTGTCCTTCCTGCTTTTTGGAGGCTGGATTCCGATGACGAAGACAGCGAAACGATGAATCCGTCTCCCCTGTGACGATGTTCCAGCATTGTACACACCACATCCCGTGTTATTTCGACTAACATGTATCAGATTGACGAGGTCATGGCGGCGGCAAAGAGGGCAAAGGAGGCGGGCAGCACTAGGTTCTGCATGGGGGCGGCATGGCGCGAGCTTGGCAACAAGAAGAAGGCCTTCAACAACATCCTCGACATGGTGAGCCAACGGAGCTTCGGCGTTTATGTTGGTCGGTTTTCTTGACGTTGCCAACCTGAACCCTGTCAAGTACGTCCTCTTCCCTACCGTATTCCACACAAGATACGTTTAATTATATTTTCACCGGGGATGTAGTTCTGTGGGGTATAATCGGTGACCTTAGCATGTGGTATGGGAGTATCTGTATTTTGGGGATCATTGTTGAACCGCATGAATGTCACCACCCTTTCTATGGAGGTGTTACCTATTTAATGTGGAATATGGTACTCCTCAAAAGCTATGCAACCACGGTTTCGTGGCCACAAGCTAACTAACCCAAAGTATAGGGGCCAATCCACACATCTCCGCCACTCGCGAAGAACAGATGACCCCTTGATTTTCAAGTCCTCAAGAACAAGGGGGTAAGGCAAGTGTTCCCTCCCAGCACCTCCCTTGCGACTGCTGTGGTTATATCTCGAACGGGTAGACTATTATTATAGTCTTTCTGTGAGATTATGTTGGCTTTCTCAAAATAGAAAATATTAGCTCCAACATGTGAACGAAAATGGAGCTCAACGCTTCGCTCGGCTGAGTCATGAAAATCGTACTTCTAGAGAGTGCAACTCGTGAGAAAGGGAAATCGTGTTGGTCCAAGAACTTTTTGTTTGATTGCTCCAGTGTCTCCAAGCCGTACGTCTTGATAATTGATAATGGCAGTTCATTTTGACCACGCCCTATAAGCATCGGTTTGGTTACAATGCGTGTGCTGTGTACGTGCGAACGAAGCCCAACGATTGAGTCGATACACCCACCTTCTAACGTCCTTTCTTCAGGTTCGTGAGGTGAACGGCATGGGTATGGAGGTATGCTGCACGTTGGGAATGCTCAACGGCGAGCAAGCGAAGCAGCTCAAAGAGGCCGGGCTTACGGCCTACAACCACAACCTGGACACGTCACGGGAGTTCTATCCCTCGGTCATCACCACAAGGTGTGTGTAATTTTGGTATGTACAAGGCCTCCCTCCGAAGTGGGGTAATGCGAGCACCGTGGCAAGGGGTGATGGAAGAACACGCAAGAGCAAACAGAGGAAGGACAGATGTTGTGTGGATATATATCGATACAAGTATACTAATTCCAAGAGGGGTTTGCCCCATTGTTGGGAGGTCGGCGCGAGCTTTTCCTTCGATATAAAGATCCTTCCGTAGGAAATTGGCTGCAAGAACAACACGCGTCAGTTTGTTTGTTCCACCCACACGCAGATCTCTTGAGGGCATCCGACCCTCGCACCTAGAGCTCACCCATCTCGGCGCCTCTACACCTATGACTCGCTACAACCAGAGAGCTAATCGCCACACAAGCGTCCGGGTGATCTTACGTAAAACCGGCCAGCCGTGGTGTCATAAATATAGCTGTCGACTCATGCTTAGGTTGATCGAAAAAAGCGTTTGTCTGTATGCTATGTTTTCATGTTTTCTAGATTTTCTTGGTTGAAACCCCGATGCCGCACGCGTGTGCATGCATGTGTACTATGCGTATGTATGCACATGCCGCAAGCGAACGTCGGTCCCAACCTGAGGCTCTGCGGTCTGCACGGTCTGCATTGCTTTGCACCTCTGCTGACACCGCCACGACATGGCTCGACTGCTGGAACCTACATGTTTCTGCTTACTGGGTGCAGCGCTACGTTCTCTGTCAAGGTGGTAGGTTGTTCTAGCTCCTTACCGTTTATGGTCGATCTCCATGGACACCCGCAGGTATCCTGTACGGTGCGGTAAAAACACAAACCCTGAAGCATATTGGCAATCCGGTTCTCACTCGCGTAACTTTCTGTAGGTGTGTAGGAAATGGTAGAATTGTCCTGCGTCTGACGTTTGCGGCTGGATGTCGTCATGCGTGGGCAGGTCCTACGAGGACCGACTGGAGACCATCAGCAACGTTCGGGAGGCGGGAATTTCAGTTTGCTGCGGTGGCATCCTGGGTCTGGGGGAGGTAAGAGAGAGACGCGACTCCACGAAATCATGAGGGGTAGTGAATCCGCAGGATCACGCGTGTGTCCATGCTGAGATTGTCGAAGAAGAACCTCAAGCGAGAGGGCTCTCGCTTTGTACGAATGCCGTGGCCTGCTTTTGTCACGATGACAGGGCTGCCCTGTGTGACACTCGATGCCGCTGTACACCACGTGTGATGAATCGGCTCAGGGAAGTCGAGGTGATAGCTGACGTGTTTGGTGGTGTTCTTAAGCACACACATGGGTAATTCTAATCCAGAAACAAACGCACGGCCCCCACCAATGAACATCGTTTCGCTGCTCATCTTTGTTGTGCAGGAGGAGAATGACCGCGTGGGCCTGCTGCACACCCTCGCAACCCTCGAGGAACACCCGGAATCTGTTCCGATAAACGCTCTCGTGGCCGTCGAGGGAACTCCCCTCGCCGACGAAGGCAAGGCCGACACACCCGACATCTGGGACATGGGACGCATGATCGCGACGGCGAGGGTGGTGATGCCGAGGACGATGGTGCGTCTGTCGGCGGGGAGGCTGAGCTTTAGCGAGGCGGAGCAGGTGAGCGGGGGTAGGGGCGGGCTGGGTGATGTTTCTGTTCATGAGCCTGCGCCCTTTTGGAGTTGCGCCATGCGTATGGGTGCCCTATGTACGACATGAGGGGCGTGAGAAGACAGGGCGAAAGTATGAGAGATAGAACTAAGCTTAGCGATCAACAAGGGAAGAATTCCTTCGTAGGGACAAAGAAGCTGAGGTAAGCGGGTGGGCTTGTTCAATTTGATCTAGTCGGTGATTTCGCTGCACGATATTACGCAGTCGGCTACTTGGCTTATTTCTCGAGCTAGATTGAGAGATCTGTTGCAAAGCTTGTAGTGTGTTCTGTTGGGATGTAACCTTTGTGATAGGTGTATCCCTGGCAATCTCGTCTGCTCATGCGGGATGCTAGCCCACCCTACAGATTCTAGTTTGTCTAGAATTCCTTCGTAGATTGGACTACTTATCAGAAAGTCGAAGGTCCCGTCTTTCGCCCATCCGGCCAGAAGGAGGTTGTATACCCTGATGTCCAGGACGAAAATATGTGTTGCCTCCTGAAAGCGATGTGGTAGAGCCACGATGAAGTCCGTGGTTGTCGGATAAGCTTCCCCATCCAGGAGGCTCATGCTGGGGCAGCTGAACATCAGGGTATACAACTTCCTTCTGGCCGGATGGGCGAAGGAAGTTGCCTTCGACTTTCTGATAAGTAGTCAAATCTACGAAGGAATTCTAGACAAACCAGAATCTGTGAGGTGGGCTAGTATCCCGCATGAGCCGAAGAGATACGCCAGGGATTTGGTAGGTGTTGTTGCTGATTGGTGATTTCTCTTCTTAGTATTAATGCACTTCTATATGCAACTGTCTGTCTTTCGTCACTTCAGAGATCTACGAAGCACATTGCGTATCTTCAATCTCAGTACATGTGCTCACTCTCTGTATCGTGTTCCGTACAGAGGATGCATCTAGCACCAAACCTTAAGGGCATGCATGCTGTACGTTGTTGAATGGTACATGTACCGAAAATACAAGAGTATGCGCTTTAAGTGCTAACTCGTGTCGAATACGTACTAGACAATGCATACAAATATTGATTGCCATGTGTATAATTCTTCGTGATTCTGTCATGTCACCTGACTTGTGTTTCTGATTCAAGCAAGAGTTAAGCACTACTTCTACAGCAGTCTAGATATCGTAAACGTGCACCAAGAAGCATTAATTATTGCATATCTTGAAGGTATATCCTTTCCAAGTTAGTTTGTACCTCTCGTGGACTTTCTTTGCTAAACTCTTGGGTTTTCGCTTGATAAACACAGCAAAATCTTGCTGTTTTTCGAATTGATTAGCGCACCGCAATACACGCTGTATCATTCGTAAATTGAATCCTTTGTGTTAACCTTTTTGGTTGAGAACATTTCTTCGAATTCAATTTTGGTACCATGTCGTTTCTTTGTATGACTTCCATTGCGGAGAAGTGTTGGAAAACTCAATGTCAGTGATTAGCATTGTACTGCTGTAAACAACAGTACGTAGGTATTCACCTAAGGAGTATTACCGGAATAGTCTTCGGTATGTTGATTCAGTAATCGGATCACTGTACGCACCTACGGGTTATACATTGAACCATAGAAGTATGGTACATCGGACCATTGTCCTATTGGATGTTCTAGTAACGTTGTCATAGGTCGGATTGACCGTCTATTACCGTGATCGGTACGTGGCAATGCCCGTGTGTGTTTCCTTTCCGTGAATGACTATGGATGGCTCACCCCTTGGTGGTCGCCCCCGCTCGCTCGCTTCTTCTCCTTTCTCTCTTCTTACCTTTCGGCCACCTAAGCGCCAATTCACACCATCTTTTCTGGTCTACAACACAAGTGTACTTGACACTCTGTAAGCCTCTGTACATTGTTACTACACAGTGACCATTGCCAGGGGTACACCTGTCACAAAGGTTACATCCCAACATGTTGTTGGAACATTATTTTTTCTTCTGTACGCATGGATGGGATTGCGCTTCTGACCCGCGTGATTCCACGCATTGATCCGTCACCTACTGACGTGCACCCTTCCCTTCTTCATCTTTTTGGGCAGGCGATGATGTTCATGGCCGGAGCGAACTCTATTTTCACGGGGGACCGACTCCTCACCACCTCCAACCCGGAGTTTGATGCCGATAAGGTAACGCGTGGTCGAGCACACGTCTAGTCTCTTCTTGTACAAAGCACTATTGTATTTGTTCTGAGAACGACTCCTGTAGTTCTCGTGTTTCCTTGTTCACGGGTTTGTGTGAAAGCACGCCTGTTGTTGTTCGTCGATTAGGGTGCACCGTGCTCCGTGGTGACCACGCGACTGTTGCCTCTGTCCTAGCAAACTCTTGTGTGCAGGGAGGGGTACGCACAGGATACACACAGACAGCCGGTATCGGGTTGGCATTCGAAGCCCCCACTCGTCTATACTCAACACCGACAGATTGCTCTCCATCATCTTCCCCCTGGATCTGACCTCTCCCATTCCTCCTCTTGCTTGGCTACGAATACTGCACCAGGCCCTCTTCGCTAAGCTTGGACTGAACGGGAAGCCGGCTCACTCCGCCCCGCTTCAGCCTCCCATGGAAATGTCTGAGCGAGTAGTTGTGACGCACCGTGAGGTGTTGGCAGCCGGAGGTAGCGTAATCGACACCGAGGAGACACACGCTCTACCGCAGGCGGCATGAGCACACGTCGGCTTTCTAGTGTTTTGGCGAGAAGGGTAGATAGAGCTCTCGTAGGTGTGAAGCGCTTGTATTTGGAGGGGAGAGAGTCTCGTATATAGTGTGAATGGATGTGTGTTGGGTGGGATGGGTGGGTGGCTGAGAGTAGGTACACAAGGGGACGATTTTGCAGATTTGTCCGCTGCTTTTCCGGAGCAAGTTGGAGGAACCGCACAAGGGTGAATGTTGTGGGAGGGTTTACATATCGACGCAATATCCGATTGATATTCGAGTTGCGCACCGTGAGCGAGAGATGGACGCGCTTTCCGACGCGGTCGATGGACAGACAGGGCGTACAGGGCTGGGGCCCAACGGAAGAAATGGAAATGAATTATTTCATGAGACTATTTTTGGAGCGAAATCCACGGATTGATGCCTTGCAGTGCGGGCCCGCAGTCGGGAAATATCACCAATATTTCGTTCAGAAGCAAAGGCAAGTTTGAGTTTTCACAAAACTTGGGGAATATGAGTTGAGACACAAAGAAAGCCAAAGAGAGCTAGACTACTAGATATACAGTATTCATTCAAGGAAATTTTAATTTTGACGTTTCTTCTCTCTAATGGGCGACACTGCTGTATTGCCAACGGGACCTGCCGTTGTATGTTGTTCCTATTCCTAACTTAGACGATATGCACTTACTGGTGCTGTTACCAGGTCTTAATGGGCTGCCATTTTGACGTTTTTACTGGTGTACCATCCACTATTACTGCTGTTGAACAGCAGTAGTTGCAGCTGCATGAAGCCTGCGGACGGTCGGTGCGTAGACTAGACTATGTATGATAATTGAAGTATTTCGCAGATCTCGGTCCACACGTTACATTTTCATGATGTTCAACCTCCAGCAAGAGCACCCAATGGTCGAAAAAAAACATGCCTACGACATCTCCTGGCTGTGTGCCTCTCGTATGTTTGCACGTTTGCCTGTGTGTGTTGCACATGACATGCGCGGAGCACCGCTGTAGCATGCATGTGAATGTGATGTGTGATGTCTGCAATGTGCAGGAGGCGGAGGCCGGGCCGGGTACCCCCCTTGAAAAACACAAAAATATCAGGTTGCGTCCCCTCCAGAGTTGATGCTGCTGACATGCTGACACATGTGCAGTGCAACTCCTCCGCCCGCGTCCCCCTACTACACAATCTTCAGTGGATAGCACACAGCAGTGTTGCTCGTGTGGCTGCTATCGGCGGTGGCTCTATCCGTGTGCTGGTCCTGCGGGTAGCATGGGCAAGAAGAATGTTCCCCTGTTGCTGGTCCTGACTCTGTCATGCAGCGAATCTGGGCTTTCGTTTCTCCGGTAAGCTGTAAGCTGTCGGGCATCACCATGCGCACGCACGCCCCCTGCCCCTTGATCTTTGCTTGGAGTATGCGGCAGCTGACTGCCTGTACACGTGGGTTCTTCTGTTCTCGGTTCTTCGCCCTTCCCTTAATATTTATGCCTGTAACACAGAAACGCAGACAGAAACCTTCTTCACCCGCCGTGTTGTAGGCTACTGCGTGTACCCTCTGCTGCCACAGCAGTGTCATGATCAGTGTGTCAGATCTATGAACACGGCATGGCGACTCGAGGTTGGAGGGCTCAACAAGAGACTGCTCACACCAAACACGAATATAAACTCCTTCGTCGTACACCAAGTTCACCCACGGTTCGCCGAGCTCCTATTGAATTTGTGAATATGAACCTACGGCATGCAATGTGCGGGCGTGTGCTCATGTGTGACGAGACCGTTGTTGGCCCGCATCTTCAACTTGCTTGTTGATCCGTTTCTCCTGCCGTTTTCCCCTTCGTTCCATTCTCCAGCCCCCACGTCTCCTCGCTTCCACACCTGAGCCAAGCCCCCTCGGCAAAGACTTCTGTTACGAGACGGCAAGCGGCTGCCACTATACCAGGGGGCGTGCCGAGCGGAAAGCTGGAGAGAGGAGCTCCAACGTCGAAGACATCAGACCAGTCACCTTTTCCGAACCAATCACCGCCGCCGCCTCCGCAAAGCGTGAACCCGACCGAAGCGACGCCAGGCTCTACTGCTGTGACAAGAGGCTCCGCAACACAAGTAAAGGGGAAAGGTGCTAGTGGCACTCCTAAGACAGCAGCAGCTGGAAAGGCTGCCGCTGCATCTAAGGGGACCGTTGGGCCGTCTGCCGTGTCACCGAAGGCGGCAGTAGCGGCGGGAACAACGCAAGGCTCGGCTGCGGCGGTGGGAGGGGCTGCTGGGGCGAAAGCCGGGGGAACGGCTGCTGCTGCGGTGGAGAAAAAGACAGCGGTCTCTGCCAAAGAACGGGAAGAGGTAACGGCAACAGACAAGCCGACCGAGGATAAGAAGAAGGGTCTCAAGGCTGGACCGGAAACAACCGCGGCGGAGAAGGTGTGGCGTGCCGCAGTCAGCAGTTTATGTGTCAGGTGTTTGGTCGCGTTGCTGACGGTGTTGCGCGCGTGTGGCGTTCGAAAGTTGAAGCGGGCGCGAACACTCCGTTCTATCCTGGCTTAGAGACGAAGAGCTGCCCCCAGGAAAGTTGTGAGAGAAAGACACACCTCTTGCGTTGATGAAACAAAGAGACAGACCAACAAGAATTCGCTCTGGATCCCGTGTATACGCCGGCCCCGTCAACTCTCCCATCCCAAACCCTCGAACAGGTGCTGACCCTGGTGGAGATCGGTCTGGTAGACAAAGAGGAGGCATCGACCTACTACGAAGCCCTCTCCGACCTCGAGCGTACAACGCAGGAAGCGAAGGCAGCAGCCGCCGCGGCCGCCGAAAGCCAACCGCCAGCAGCCCGGTCTTCGTCCGCGTCACCGTTCTCGCCGCAAGAGGGGCCCTTGAGCCTCGTCCCCTTCCCGGCCGTCTGCGCCGCGCTCGGCGCCGCAGGCACGCACTCGCTGCACCTGGCCGGGGCACTCGGCACAGCGTTTTCCGTGTTTGGCGCGGTGGCAGGAGTGGCCCTGGGGGGTCTCGTGGTGATCGGGGATGACCCGCTCGGCAGAGCAGCTCGCGCCGCGGGGCTGGCGTTGGCGCGGTCGGCCGGTGCTGCAGGGGGAGCGGCAGGAAAGAGCGTCTCGGAGTCTGCCGCTGGGGCTGCCGGGGCGGCGGTGGGCGCCGTAGAGGAGGCCTTCGTGAAGGCGCCGGCGAACTTTGTCGCCGGCGTGGCGAGTTCGATCTCGAGCGCGGTTTCGTCGGCGGTGGGGTCGGTTACAGCCTTGCCCGGGGCGGTGGCGACGAAGGCTGCGGATGGAGCTCGGGGGGCCCTCCAAGACACATCGGAAGCGGTTGTGAACTTGCCTGGGGAGGTTGCGCGAAAGGCGGCCCAGGCGGCAGGAGGTGCTTTGCAGAGCACGTCGGATGCGGCGGTGACCGCGGTGAGGGAATCGCCGAAGGTGGCCGCGAAGCGCCTGAACGATGCCGTCTCTTCCCCGGGCAAGACCCTCACTGCTCTCGCAAGCGGTGCATCTAGCTTGGTAGCGCAACAAATCGAGAGCAGCAAAAAGAAGGTATTTGAGTCGATTTGCTTGAGAACTGCTGTTTGGGTTACTTCTGTATTAGACGGCGGACACGCTAGGTGGCGGTATTCCAATCACGCGTTTTCACCGTTTTTCCCTTCGTTCCGGAAACGATGCTCCGTTCTCTGTTTCGAGTCGTGAAAATGCTGCTTTGGTTGGAAGCGCGTTAAAAGCGCACACAAGTCCTTCATTTTGGCTGACAAGAATTTTGCGTGCTGCTCTCTCCCGTCTCCATCAGGCACGCCCAGCCGCCCCCGCGGCGTCAACCAAGAAAGCCCCCCAAGCATCAACGGCAGCCGCAAGCGTAGAGGAGAAACAAGAACCGGAAGGGATACCTATCGATGAGCTGGAGGCGAAGATGTCGTCTGTTAGAAAGGCCCTGGAGCGCTTCGATACCGTCAAGGTGTGGTTGGTGGCGTGCGGTACCACCAGTAGATGAGGGGATACGACAGCGATATACGGGGGGGGGGGGGGGGGGCGTAAGATAGCACTCCTCCGATGCCTTTGTTACAATGTTTTTTTCTTAAGGTGTGGTGCGCTACGTTGTGGTCTGTACTGTTTGCCATGAGATGGGCGCCTTCGTGCCATGCCAGCGCTAGCCCGGTGCATATGTGATTCTTTTTTTTCGCGAAAAGTTTGCGAATGCTTTTTTTTTCAAGAACGAAGCACGTGATTGCATCGCTACAACGTTCTGCCCACCTCCTTGTCGTTTGTCCGTGCGAAGCTGTCGCTATCGCTGTTGCCAACCTCCGCAATGGGCATCGTCCCTGAACATTTTTTTTGTTGGCTTCTTGTCTTTCAGAGCCGCATTGAAGAAGCGAATACGTCGGACACGATGCGGAAGACGGTGAGCATGACGCGAGGCATGGACATGTCTGCCGAGAGGGAGAAGAACGAGGAGGCGCGAGCGGCCGCTGAGAGACCAAACGAAGCCCGAGTGAACGGTAACAAGAAGAGCACGTCCGCCAGGTATGGAGCATATCCACCTACCCTTGCCATCTCCCCCCTTGTCCTGTGTTTTTCCGCCGTGACAACTGTCTTGTTGTCTTGTTGACTAGATGTCTCCGTCGGGCTGTCTCGATCGCAGGTCTCCATACACCTGCAATTACAGAGTTATCTTGGATATGTCGCCATGTCATCACCGCTGTCACAACAGACACGGGGCGTGAGGCTTTCTTTGGGGGATCAGGGGTCCGGTTGTCGATCTCCTACGTAACTTTCAGACCTTGAATAGACTGTGATTTTCCAGCGTTGGGCATAGTGGCGCAATCGGTGTCTTGGTACAGCTACGCAAGCACTTTATATCCTTCTGAAGTATACAATAAATAGCTTTCAACGTCAGTGCGAGGAACACGACGATCGTTTTAGCATCAACAACTTCCCGATTCCGCACGCCCCTTCTTGCAGACCGGGTGGGGAGATGCCCAGCGTAGCATCAACCACCACCACAAGAGCACCAAAACCGAAAACGATGGACCAAGACAGACGCAAGCAAGTCGCGGAGAAGCTGCTGGAGAAGGCATCCCAGAGAGCCACGGAGGCGAAGGCCGGCCTTAAGGCGGCGGCAGCGTCTTCGCGACGAGAAGCCGAGAACACCCAAGCGGCGTCCCCCACAGCCACCCCCATCGGTGGCGCCGACAAGAAAACTCCGCAGGAGACCGTGGCGACGCATAAAGGCTGACTCTTCACGAGCATCGTGTTTTAGGAGTCAGCCCCATGGTCCATACCTGTACGTATGATACGGCCTCTGAAGTTTTGCTTGTTGTTCCTAATTTTCGTTTTTGCAGGGCCTCGTTCTTAGGTTGCCTTTTTTTTTATAGTTTTGGACACGCAAGACACGCGCATTCTCGAGCTGTATGGGGTGTTGGAGTTCTTTTTGTGGTGTGTCACACGGAACAGGTTTCTGTTTTCTCTCGTGGCGTTATTCTGGTGAGGCGGGTTCTGGTATGCTAGTGGCGATGGCACAGCAGTGGGCAGGGGTAGGCCCTTGGGCTGTGTTGGCGGGGCGAATGAAGTTAACGGCCGTAATTCATCGATTATATTTCTGATTCGACGTGAAGGGTTTGACGATGCGGGGCGCACCAATGTCGTATTGGCCACCAATGTCGTATTGGTCGGCATTGCAGCTGGAGCTGATCCGAGGTCGGAGGTTTGGCGCTCATTGACAGCCTGTTTCCCGATAAGCACTTCGAAGCTCCCCTAGATATTTGTTGGTCGATGTATTGTGAACGCTCAGGGCCCTGAAAGATAGAAGCCTGTTGGATTTGGGGCCCAAAGTATAAATATTTATGCAGTTGTCACACGCGGGATAGTGATGTGGCCTAGCAGTAGATTCAGTCAACTAATATGCCGTCGTGCTTTCGACACAGTGCAAAGTAAACATCAGGTGATGCGCGGCTGCTGACTACTGTACGTAGAGCGCACAACGAGTGTGCGCGTGCGCACGTGGGGGAGAGGCGAAGCAATCAAAGTAAATATTCCTCGTCTATGTCGAGAAGGCAGCAGTCTGAAGTGTACCGCATGGCGCGTTGAAACCGCTCCTTCCGCTGGTTTATTGCTGGCTTGCCCGCCATGACATGGCCGGTGGGCGAGCTTGCAAAGGTCTCAACGTGGGTTAATGAGAATGAAAACAAAACGCAAGGTAGGTCACTGTGTGGTCTTCGACGAATGGCATCACGCACACGTGTTAGTTGAGAGTACCTTGTAAATACTCTCACCATCATGTGTAGCTGGGGTAGTATCAAAGAGGGGACATGGGGGTTGTTTGCGACGCAAGCTAACATTTAAACAGCCAATGATTACCCCCGAGTAAAAAAGACTAAATAACTGCTGTAACACCGCTCATGGATCGTAAGGAGTAACCACATTTTTTCATTTGATTTGAATATTTTCGAAGAACACACAGCAGTCTAGATGTACCTGTTATAGCTTGTAGGCATGATAGTTATGCTTTATGCCCCCACTACGCAAGAATCCTAGAGCACGTTCACAATCAACAGCCAGCCTGCATTTGCAAGCCACAGTAGTGCCAGGACTGGAAGTGGACATTCTAGAACAATATTACAATACAACGGGGCGGGCGACTAACGGTATCATCTGGTGGAGGAACAGGTAGACAGACTGACTCCCGTCGTCGACACAACGTACTTCAAACTATCTAACGTTGTAATTTCTGAGTCATCGATGTTCGGACTTCTGTGCAAGCATGCACGTCAGGCATACACTCATGCAATCAGCCACACACACATCATATATCCCTTTCACTATCAGTACGCCTGCCTGCGCGTCCACAAGATACACAGCCAGGATACAGAGTGGAAGATTTCCCCGTCCTAAAGTGACGTCGTGATGCATGTCCCGTCGTCCCGTCCTAAAATGGCGTTTTTCTTTTCCGCGAGACAGGCAAATCCGGCCCGTTCAACAAACGCCTCTACGGTGCCCCCCCTCACCAAGGCGAGGCCGACCCTACTGTCAACTCTGCTTGATCTATCTCTCAGCAAACTCACCAATCTTAGCACTATCACCACCACACATCACACCATGGCACCCAAGCTCTTCGCCGTACTCTTTGCCCTCTACTGCGCGTGCGCATCCGCGTTCATCGCACCCTCGGCCGGTGAGTTTTGGGCATTTTGTTGGTCAAATCGCTTGTCGCGCGTTTGTTTGCCCTTCAACGCTGCTCTTCCCATGTGTTTGGTTCATGCAGGACGCCGTGCGGCAGTAGAACATGGGCGGCGCGCCGCGGTGGCTTATGAATTGCTTGGCTGCCCATCCCTCTGTACGGGCTTGGTCATGGAGTTGTTGATTGCCTCATCGCTTCATAGAGCAGCTTTTTTGGGTGAGGGTTTGGGGTGCAAAATTGCTCACTTGTCCTTTGGGGCAGCAGCCGTGGCCTCTCATGCTGCCATGACGGCAGGCTCGATGAGGAGGTGGGTTAGGGAGGTGCTTACGTTCTCGGGAACCAGCGCGGTTGGGTGTTGTGTGGGTGATGAACGACCTTGATCACGTGTTGGCCCTGTTGGGCGTGTTGTGAGAGTGCAGCTCTCCCTGTTCCTCATGTTGCATGTCGCTACCCCTGGCTTGTGCTGTTCGTGGATCATCGGGTGTTTTTTATTCAACTTGCCCACGCACTTCTCGCCATGCAACGACGAACACAACTGCTGTGTCAATGGAAAGCCAAAGCTGACATCAGTACTCCATACTACAAACACAGGCTTGTCCGGTAGCACAGCACGGCCTTTCACCTTCTGATGGGGTCCAGTAGCACACAATTGGAAATACCCGGCATCAAGAGGTTTCGATGACAAGACAGACGTGTCGTGGGTATGGTACAGCAGTATTTACACTCTGCAATCAAATGTGTCTACCGTATTTTACCCTGATGTAGCACACATGATCCTTCCCACATGCATTCCTTCCCGTAGCCGCGGTCGCCCGTTGAGTGATGAGTGATCACCGAGAGTGGGATCCCCCATCCGCATCCACGGGCATCATCAGCCGTGTCGCCTACTACCGGTTGCGTCACAAGCGGATTCTATAGCAGGGGTGCATGCTCTATATATTGCACCTGTAGCCCGTGAACACACGATGAAATCGCTGCAGGTTTACTGCCGTACCAGAGCACAGCAGCAGTACAGCCCCTTGGGTCTTGGCCGTCTCTTCGGCTTCGCTGTAGCGAGGGCGAGAGCGCGTCGCCATTTTGTTTGACGGCATGCCCGTGTGCAACGCAGCGACATGACGTGAACAGCATCCGAAGAAGAGGGTTGAAGTGTTTTTCTCTTGGTCCATTGATTGGTCCCGAAGGGGAACCATCTACCGCATCTCCAGCATCTTGCGTTTTTTATTGTGCGCGCTTGGGGTGTGCAAGTGTATGTGACGACGTATCAAAGTCGAACGGTTTGTTGTCGACGATGGCCCGGCACGGTATCCTACACATGTCTGCCTCTCACCCGCTGCTATGCGTATCAAGTCTTGCAAAGGGACCGTGCTAGAGGGTACCCCCCTTGACGTGCGGATACTGTTCGGAACGCAGTCGTTCAGTTCACCCCACGCCTTTCCACCCACCTTACCGCGTTCAATGAACGCTACATTTCGAGAGAGAGACAGAGAGTGAGAGAACACCCCCGACTACGTAAGTGGCGCTTCTCTTGACGCCCGGGGGAAGAAATGTGTGCAGATGACAACACAAACGTGTTCCTGCATCTGTTTCCTCAATATCGCGGTGGATGGAAATCGAATCAGGGGGGAGGGCGAGCGGGAGAAGGAGATGCTGCGTGCTACGACCCTTTGTTAGTGGCACAGGGGTGAATTTTTGCGTCGATCCCAACCCCACCGTTGTCCTGTGACAACGGGAAGCAAAGGATCGTTACTTCCCGAAGGCCAAGGTCAATTCGGTCGAACAGTCCAAAGAACACCACCGAAGTACTTTTTCAGCCCTCTGTAAACATGCAAGGTACAGGGATCGTAAAGAGTGCCGGTAATCGAGTATATTCAACATCCAGGGTGTCACGGGCCGAAACCGCGCAAGTATGAAAATTGAAGTGAAGGGTCGCCTTGCTTATTTGGAGTGTGGAGTGTGCCCTCAACGAAGCCTTCGACGCCTACAGTAGTTTCCAAGACCCTGGGGTTGAATTTCTGTCCCAAATAACAAATCGGCTGAAGACAGCTTGCATACGAAGCAACCTTCCTGCCCAATCTCCTAAAGCAACGTCTATGAGTCCTCCTCGATCTACGCAATAATGTTGGCCTCCACCGCCAGATCATTGACCCGTGTGCATGCCGCATCTGTACTTCGTGTCGAACCAACATGCGTTTGGTTGTTGACTTCGATTGGCGACCGCCGGCGCAAGACGCCTTCATTTCCTTGAATAAGATTGCATGCGACAACTTCCAACCGTACTCCTGCGGCTCCATGTTAGTTCGCCCTCTTGCCGTTGGCGCAACCCGAAAGAGTCGTGCAATAACTTGTGCATATGCATAGCGTACTGGTTGTAGTGGCTTCCTCCAAAGACAAAAACCCTTCTCTCCGTTGAAGTATATTTGTGCAAGGGTTTCTTGCGCTTACCCTACACACGTCCCATTCGTGAGGAAGACCCACGGGTTCTTCAGCAGCAGCGATCGTCACCACCGGTCCGTATCCTTGGCCTTGGCCCTGTGAGGACTCCATGAGAGTGTTCGCATTTCCACGTAGTGCCGGTATCTGGGGCATAGGAACACTCCCATGGAGTCCTCACAGGGCCAAGGATACGGACCGGTGGTGACGATCGCTGCTGCTGAAGAACCCGTGGGTCGTCCTCACGAATGGCAGAGATATGTCGGCGGGCTCTTCGAATCCCAGCATGATCCCTTGTAGAAGCACCATTTGCACAGGCGCACGTATCAGCAGTATGGGAAAGGGTCCGTCGATGACTGTCATCACCGATTAATCCGTTGTCTTAAAATCTTTTCGGTTGAGAACATGTCTTCGAATCCAAGTGGTAAAACCCGTGCAAAGTAGTACACACGCGTTTTATTATATAACTGCCATGGCGGGGGAGTGTTTGAATACTCCAATGTCAGTCGGAAGTATTTGTATTGCTGTACACAACACACTTTTGTATTCACGTAAGGAGTACTAATGATACAGCAATGAGACCATTGTCCTAAAGGATGTTCTTGTAACGTTGCCATAGGTCGGATTAACCGTCTACTACCGTGATGAGGATGGATTGCTCCTCCCCGTATACCATACACACTGTTCTTTCTGGCCTGGGTACACGCTGTTGAAAACCCCAGATGCCTGGAAACCCCTGTGCATCAGTGGCCAGAAACCGGTAGTTGTCGCTAACCTGGTGACCTTTGAGCGATTTTTCTATCGATACCTGACGAACCGGCCTCCCCCCTCTCTCCACCATCTCCCGCTTTTTTTTTTCCGCACCCGCAGTCAAGTCCGGATCCTTCGCTACCCCCGCCGTGCGTGCCACCTCCATGGTGGCACCCAAGATGACGATGGGCCTCGAGCAGATCGCGGACGTCCTCCCCCTGGTGCCGTCGGAGGCACACAACGCAGGGTTCGAGATGGCGAACAACCCCCTGCTGCTTTCGGTTAGCGCGGACTCGTTCGGCGGATTGATCGGCCCCATCGGCGGCTGCCTCGCCGTGGCGATCTTCATCGTCGTCATGGCGCCCCCGCGGGTCGACTAAGGGTTGTTTTAATTTGACACGTTTTCCGTTTTAGGTCGAATAAAAAGATTTTTGTTTCGGGAGGGAGGGGGGCAGGGGTTGGCGACTGAACTGGACTGCTGGGGCACCGGTTTTTCTGGGTCTCGGGAATGTTTTGCTGCACGCGGGAAGATTTAGAATAGAAATCCCCGTAACCCTCTGCCCGGTCGGGTTGGTGTTTCTCGTCTTCTCGATGGGCCTGTTAAAGGCGGGGTTGCTCGTGAGACCATACCCGCTCCGCCATAACGAGAGTTTTCGGTTTTGGGCATCTGCAGTATGTCACGGTCGCTTAAGCTCTTGGATTAAGAATCGGCAAGTTCGATATCGAGGATGTTTGACTGACGGGGCCTCCACCGCCGAGGATGTTTTTCGATTTTTGAACATTTACCGCGTTCATGGAATGCGTCGCATGTTCCGACGCGATCTATTTCTGTCACGGTCTCTCGTGCGGCGGCCATAGAAATGATGGATGTAAAGATTAAAAGATTTGAGAATGTCCGTTGGACGCATTCTACACTCACCCCCGGAGACCTCTGGACAGACGGCCAGCTTGTTGTTACCTCAAAGCACGAGTGTTGGGATGAGGGTTTTCCTCCATGCCCACACGACGTTGTTGTTGTGTCTTTTCGCTGAGGACAGCACTCTCGGCTCATGTTCGTGGACGACCATCAAAGCTCATGCTCGAATTGAAGCACCTAGTCGAGCACGTTTCTTGGATGTTGCGGCTCGTTTCATCGTGAGGAAGGAATGGCTTCTTGCTCTCCTCTTGGCAGTGACGGACGGTTACTTGTATTATATGTAGTCCGATTACATATAGCCCCCGTTATTGCCTGTGGTGGGCATCATCCAATCATAAAGCCTCGACACTTGAGTGCATTGGGTGCCTGAAATGTATGGCGTGGGTTGATCAGCTGGTGACGCAGGTACTGTACCTCTTACAGGATTAGCACGAGTAGCCCTCTTCCGTGCCGCCCCGAGACCTCTTGCTTCATAAGCCCATGACAGCCACAGTTTGAACCGCACTATTATAGCCAACTAGCCAAAAGACGGTCGTAAGCAACAAACAACTACGCATGCTTGGCTTCCTGTTTTCTCCATTCTCGGCTCTCGTTTTCGACTGGCCGAACGCGAGAGGTGAGGTTTAGTCTACACGGTGAGAACAGCGTGCGTAGTGTGACCCTGTAATCTCATTTTTTGGAGCGCGAGTGTATGCATAGCCGGGCACGCACCGAAATGCGTCGAAGGTTCAGCGCCGAGAAGGCTGTGGCCGAAGCCTGTGGCCGAAGCCTGTGGCCGAAGGCTGTGGCCGAAGCCTGTGGCCGAAGCCTGTGGCCGAAGGCTGTGGCCGAAGGCTGTGGCCGAAGGCTGTGGCCGAAGGCTGTGGCCGAAGGCTGTGGCCGAAGGCTGTGGCCGAAGGCTGTGGCCGAAGGCTGTGGCCGAAGGCTGTGGCCGAAGGCTGTGGCCGAAGGCTGTGGCCGAAGGCTGTGGCCGAAGGCTGTGGCCGAAGGCTGTGGCCGAAGGCTGTGGCCGAAGGCTGTGGCCGAAGGCTGTGGCCGAAGGCTGTGGCCGAAGGCTGTGGCCGAAGGCTGTGGCCGAAGGCTGTGGCCGAAGGCTGTGGCCGAAGGCTGTGGCCGAAGGCTGTGGCCGAAGGCTGTGGCCGAAGGCTGTGGCCGAAGGCTGTGGCCGAAGGCTGTGGCCGAAGGCTGTGGCCGAAGGCTGTGGCCGAAGGCTGTGGCCGAAGGCTGTGGCCGAAGGCTGTGGCCGAAGGCTGTGGCCGAAGGCTGTGGCCGAGACTTCTTGCTGTCTTCAGGCGAGGACTCGACAAACCTCGAGGAAGGCGCGATGCGAAGTTGCATCACCAAACATGAAAAAACGCAAGAAAAACACGAGGGGTGGCAGCACAAAAGCACTTGCAGATGAGCACGTTCGGGAGATAATTCATTCGGCAGAGTTCGTTTCTACCAAGGAGCGACGAGACAGCCGCACTCAAACCGGTGCGCCAAAACAAGACCAGTCACTTGTGACTGACGTGCGTCTCGTTCACGACCACCACAACCAAACACTAGTACAAAGTAACTGCTGGATGTCCCGCAGGGCTGAAGTGCTGGGTACCAAGACCGATTGTACATGCCAGAGTCTGGGTACGTTCTAGGAAGTCTTTCTTCTAGCCTTCAAGGCGTCTATCTTCTTCTGCATCGCCTCCAGCTTGGCAGCCTGTCCCGAATGAAACGACGTGGTCGGAAAGACAACGCGGAACGGACAGGGGGGGGGGTGCGCGCGCGTGGGGCTATCGGGCTCAGTTTGCACCGTCTGCAATTCAACGCACCAACAACGACTTGGGATACATCTCATGTCGTTCAGCAAAGATAGTCACAATACATGTGCGTATTCAAGCATGCTTGTGGCATACTCAACTGGCGCCGCCGATCACCGTGATTTCAGGAAGTCGATGCTCAAACCAAGACAGTGAGGCCCACCAGTAGGCAGCGGGGCACGCCTTTTCGTATGCACCAACGAACATCACGTCCGCTACACGTACGAAGCTGGCGCCCGAACGTCCGCTTTGAAGAGGGTCAGAGTCTACGTCTCGAGAGGATTATTTCGCTTTCCGTAACTCCGAAACGGCGGTTATCTACTGATTTATTTGCCGATCGACAATCTCGGGAGGGATCATGTGCATGGACCCGTGTCGTTGACTAAAACCAACGTTTGCTCAAAAGGGAAATTAATGCAGTAACGGGAGGGTTGGACTCATTCAATGACAGTATCGTCCGTGGGTACGTAGCGCGCACAGACCGTTACATGACGGGACTCTGCGCATATATCAGAGGCACTAACAGCGGTGCCTCGATACCATCCGTCACACCGCATGTTGACAAACGAAGCTGACTGCCGTCAGCATCCCCCAACGCCCACCTTTCTAGCCTTCTCCTTGGCCTTCTCCTCCTCCAAGCCCAGCACCGCCGCCGCGGCCGTCGCCTTGTCTCCCGAATCACCTTCCTTCTTCGCCGGCGGCATGGCGCTCTCCGCGTCGGAGCGGGTAGGGTATGGTACTTGGACTACCGTGCCCAGAGGCTCGCCTTCCTTTGTCGACAACTGGAACGGAAGGACCGCGAAATACTTGGTGAGTCGACCGCTACCTTCCCGAGGTAAAGTTGAAGGTTGGTTCTCGGTGCCGCGCGAGGCGCTTTGTTTCACACTTGCGGAATGCCTAGGTTTACTCAACATGAAGCTGGGGATATTTATCGTGGCCACCCCATCTCTCCAAGTGCGCGTTCAGCGGACCTGGTCTATATATGATAAAACAAGAGAAGAGTAGCGGACCTACCAACATGTACTCCCTTCGCATTAATCTCCGTACTTTGTGTCACGTTGTATGTATGGACCTGGATTGTGGAAGGCCATATCAAGAGAGGCAAGGCCATCAAAGACGAGTTGTTCGCGTTCTTTCGGAGGCACATGGATGCGAGACCGAAGAGATGACCAACAATCCGATGGTCTCTACATGAATCTTCCTCGATGTGGTTACGAACAGGAGGGGGTCCCGTCTTGAAAGATCATGAGAGGTGTGTGTGCGCGCACTCACATATCACAGCATCACTCCATTCATTCCTTTGAAGCATTCCTTTCGAGAGTGCAGTCTCCACTCCTCCCGCACAAAACACACACGAAGAAACGCTCCATCCGCTCTCTCGCCAAAACCCGTACCTTCAATCCCACCCCGCCAGCCTTGGTCCTGATGTACGCCAAGCCGAACGGGTGCGAAGTTGCGTCCCGGTCCAACATGGAGGTCACTACCCCGGCGCTGAGGCAAAAAAAAAAAGACAGAAGATGTGGCCATCAAGACAGTCAGTCGCAACCGACGCGGGCGTCATGGAACCTTCAGACCAAGAGCAATTTTCAATGGGGATCGAACAAGAGGTATTAGGGATGCCCCCGCCGTGTACAAGACGAGGTTACCAGCATGTATGTATATATATACATCACCAGAGCTCATTCCCGTCCACAGACCTCATCGCCACGCTGAGAACCGCTGTAGAACGACAACTCCAAACATCCGGTAGCGTGGGGGCGCATGTCTAGAGTAGATATTATTGTCTTGGGATACCAAAAATCAATAACACCGCGGCGACTGGAACAACACGATTTCCAGCACAACTCGCCTCTTTCCGGTTTCCTGCACGAAAAGCTCTGTCCCCTGTTCGGGCGACGTCGAGTCCTCGAAGGACACCCCGTAGAGGGCTTTGCTGACGGCGTTGTAGGCGTTAACTCGGGAGATGGACTCTTGTCCGATGTAGCAGCCCTGCCCCAAGGGAGGGGTCCGTCGCAAGAGAAGAGCAAGCGAAGAGAAGAGAAGTGCAATTGAGGACATGTACCACGAACGATAGATCCCCGCACCCAGCCGCCGGGACGGAGTAATTTTGGGCGACTAGAAAGACCGCGCGCGAAAACATCGACTCCTCAGTTCGGGAGCGTTCACAATTCGCGGTTGAGTGTCAGGCAATCATGGAGTATACACGTGGGACTAGATAGACCGCGCGCGAATACACTAGCGCCTCACTTCGGGATCGTACACAAATCGCTGTTGAGTTTCAGAAGGATAAGCAGCACGACTCGCTCGCGACAGCCGCTACAGGTGCCATCGGCAGTAACAACCGTTCTCCTACTCCAAGGGCTGTCAGAATCAAACACGCAGGAGCGTTTCGTGGTAGCAATCAAACAGTAGGCGAGACCTCAAGCATTTGTCTGGCCTTCGTGCAGCTGCCCGCAATCACGACACCTCCAGCTCTTCATTGATGCCGCGTGCAGACGAAGCTGTGTTGGCTCACCTGCCTGCGCGCCGGTGCCAAAACGTCCTACAAACGACAACGGCGTTGAAGTACTTATCTCTAGAAAATACAGCCTCAACAAAGAAAGGTCTATCGGTATTCACTCGGTGGTTGCAATCGTCAGCTCTCGATTTCGAACCTCCCACTCCCCCACCCCCCTTCTTCCTTACCCATGGCACCTAAGAAGCATGTGCAGCAGTAGTTACCTTGTCGAAGTGCACGGCGTGCCACAATCCGGCCTCCAGGGGGTTGTAGTCGGCCGTCAGCTCTTTCCCAGGGAAGGGGAAGCCTAGAGCAGAGGGACGGAAAGGGGGTGTCACGGAGATTCGCCCGTCAAATTTCCGTACTTGTCTGACGCTCTGTATTGTGATGCTCTCGGTGGAGCGGGATGATTGGCCGGAACGCATTTGGCGGTGTTCTAGGAGGTTTGTCAGACCAGGCGCCAATATTGTAGGACTTGCCGCACTCTTGCCACTTCGAAAATGTTTTCACGAGAAACGGGCGATCATGTTGTAATGTTCTAGGTAGCTCGTCGTGGCCCCGGAGGATGGGTAGGAAGCAAAGAAACTACAACGGAGGGATACACACCAACCACACGGTGCACACGTATGTTCGAGATTCGCATCATGCCCACCAAATGCGAAGAGACAGGTTGGTCCAACAAACAAGCAATGCCAAAAACAACGTAACGCACTGTCTCCCCACAGACAGGCCGAGATTTTCTTTCTTCACCTTGCTTGATCCTGAGAGTTTGCCACTCCTCTTCCCCCGCGGCCACGACTGACGGCGAGGCCGAGAGCGCCGACCAGACCTTCGAGGATACCGACACCGGGACGATGACGCTATAGTAAGGGTGTTGCTGCGTCCCCTGACGCTCCCCGTCCCCCGAGAGCACGCCTTCGGCGTCATGTGAGACTCCCTCCTCCTCCTCTCTTGTTCTTGTCAGAGGCCGTGCATGACCAATGATCAGGACCTTCAAAATGGAAGCGCCGAGCCGGGGGGGGAAGGGGGGCGCACTCTAATGTTTTCCATGCCTTAGCGGGTAGACCATTGACCACGCATCCTCGAGAGGACGGAGCATTGTTCCCACAGGGCGGATCACCGACGGCCAATCGTTCCTTCCTAATCTGCCGGGCGGGTTGGAAAAAAAGACGTGGCTACGCTTGCATCGCGTTGCCACCGAAACAAATAGCTCCAGGGCAATACAATACGAAACAGTGTCGGTTTGTTGAGATGTTCAGGTCATGCCTGCAGCACGCGGACACACGTGTGCTGTTTCCGTCTTCTGCGCATCTCGAAAGGTCCGGGCTTGGATGTGTTTCATTCACCTTTTCGCCCTCGAACTCCCACTCAACCGAGCGACCCGGTTCCGGGCACGAGGCGCACTTCGCCATGGCCATGGTCTCAGCTGCCTTCGGCCCCGCCAGGGAAAACACCGCCAGCTCCTCCGACAAGCTCGACACGGTAGTTCTGCCTCGTCGTGGGGAACCCGTTGCAAAAGCGGCGGCATAAAACATCGTGACAGACAGCGGGCGTGACGGGGGGAACGAACCGGACGACATGAAAAAAACTGTTCTTGTTCTTGGGTCTCTGAAAAATCGGTGGGGCGCACTAGGAGTGTTGTGTTAAGGCAACGAAGAGGACGGGGCTACGGCGGTAGAAGTAGGGCTGGCTCATTTGGCTGTGCACGTACTTGACCGCGACGTGCAGGAAAGGGAGGGTTGTACGAGCAAGCTGGTTTGATTCATTTGCAGCGGGTTCCACCTCCTTGAACCTCAAGCGCCATGTAAGGCAGCGCGCATTTGCAACCAACCCATTTGCACCACCAATCGAGGGTACACCAGCGTTGAGGGATAGGGGTTCATTCCCGTCTCTCCCGACTCCACCTACGCAGGAAAACACGCAGAGGCTCACTTATCCATGGGGAATATGAACTTGTCCATCGTTCCAAGCAACTTCTGCCATCGGTGCGGGGAGCTGATGAGCCACACCGCGTCGTCTAGCACCACGCCCTCACAAAAGTCTACCACACGGCCGATGTTGTTGGTGAAGCAAGTCGCCACCACCTGACCTGTTCCCGAGCGAGCCGTGAGAAGCGAGTCGTGAGAGGGGGGGTGAGTGCATCGGCGTGTTGGTGCCGCGATGATTGGGCGAACGAAGCTTTTGCGTCAAACTGCCGTTCAAATGTAAAGCCACAGGCAGAAAACGCGTATGTGTAGGTAGCCAATCAGCAAACGAACCATGCACGTGTCACCCTAACCTCGCTTTTTTTATACATGCACGCAGAAAAAGGGCAACATCCCTCCATCTTCTTCTCAACTCTGCGATGCCCCACCATCCGCGTAATATATGTTTTTCCCGGAACACCAGTTGTATGGTCGTGTTATTCCTCCTAGTACGCAGTTTGTTACAGGTCACGGGTCCAGAAAAAATCGCGTCCGCTCATTGGGAGAGGCTGTACAGTCCCGAGGGACGAAGGCTGACTTGGCTTCAGTACAAAGGAAAATGTCCCAAATGCACTGGGGACACTTTCCATACTGAAGCCAAGTCAGCAAACGTTTCCAGTACCAGGCTATGTACAGCTTTACCACCAAGGTGACATGCGGCTTGGCAGATACTGTATGTGTACAGCAAGGCAGAGGCCGAGGAGAGCACACAGGCATCACACACCAGTACATCACACAGCGTACCACCTCACACAAGCATGCTACACCAAGGTTTCCCACGCGCGGTTCTCTCAGTGGAGCTAGTGATGACTACCGTGCGGAAAACAGACATTTTAGTGCTGTGTCCCCAACGTGTCTCCATTTGGGCTTCCAGCGTTAAGAGGGTTATACAGCTCCGATGGTTGAAATCAGTCCGCGACAGAGTCGAACTGCGGGATCAAGGCGATGGTGTAACGGCCAAGCCCCCAAGCTACCTCATCGATTTCATCGGCGAGGGAAAGGAATGCGCAGAAGTATGGTACGGCTGGCCAATATCGTGTTCTGGAATAGCCAATGTAGTGTATTGTGCGGACGGCTACATATCCGTATCTTTCCCGCTGTATCATCTCGCTCACTCACCTGTCACAGCGACGAAACGGCTACCTCCCTATCGTACTGACTGTATCCATCTCCCTCGCTCACCTACTGTAGCACGCTCGAAAGCGTTGGTTCCCTGGCTGTGCAAAAATCTCAGCCTGTCTTCTCCCTCTACCCGGATGACTCCCCAGTGAGACTTGTCTACCAGGAGCGTCCCCGACGCGGCAGCGTCTGCTACGGCATCGGCGCGTTGCCTAGCCCCTGTGCCTGCCTCGAACCCAGAGACCAAGACGTTCTGGAGTACGTGGCCTGGGGACAGCAGCATGCATACACACAAGCAGATGGGAAGGGATAAGGGATTGGCCACACTAATACGGCACATCTTAAGTCCCCATCTGAAAACAGCCCGCTATCTACCTGCATCGACTATCGCATGGAAGCGGCGGCACTGCCCCCTCGTTCCTCGACATCTACTTGTACAGCAGTACTGCTGCAGGGTCTTGGGGGGCAATTTCGAAGGCGGCGAGGATAGCTGAGGGCAAGGATCATGATCTCATGATAGGCGATCTCCTCAGGTTGGCATTCCCGAATTTCGCAGGCCTGGAGCTGTGCCAGCTATCTGTCGCCCTAGCTCACCAATACCAATGCACCTATGACCTCCACGGACAACTGTGTGCGCTTACAGCTCGCAAGAAATCGACGTAACGTAATCTGTGTGTTGGTGCCGCGAGGACGAAGGGCTTGAACGCGACGGCCAACAGCAGGTAAGCTCACCATCATCGTAGGACACATCACCGATCACGCCCCCATTCTCGCTCTGCGCCGTCCTCAAGTCATCCAGGCTGCAGGTTGGTGTTGACCTTCCGCCTGGCCCAGGCGAAACTGTACCGCAGCTGCTGCTGCCGCTGCCGCTGCTGCTGCTGCGGCTGCTGCTACTGCGTTGAGCCCACAGTCTTGCACTGGATCCAAGCGCGGAAGATGAGCCAAAGGAAGTAGACCTACTTGTTGTGGCCGCCCATGGGCTTAGCCCGACAGCTAATGGAATACAGGCGCATGCCAATAGACAAGAAGAAACCTTTGACCATGGTTCTGGCGCCATCTGCCTTCCGGTCTACAGCAGTACGCTATGCCAGCTCACAAGAGGGGAATGCAGCGAGGGCAGTGTGGTGCGGCGCAATAAAATGCGGGGCTTGGGGTTTCCATGAAAATGGGTTTTACTCCCGGGGCATGACCGCATGTTGTTGTATCTGGCGGGGACGCGGAGACGCGGAGACTAAGTCCGCCTCTCTGCCTGCCTGTCTGTCTGTCTGTCTGTCTGCCTGTTTTGTCTGGATGTCAGTCAGTGCCGGTCAGTCAGTCAGTCAGTCAGTCAGTCAGTCAGTCAGTCTGTCTGCCTGTTGTCTGTCTGTCTGTCTGTCTGTCTGTCTGTCTGTCTGTCTGTCTCTCCCTCCCTCTCGCGCACGCGCCTACACCTATCTTCTGAGATATCGGACGTACCATCGTGATTGATTCAAAGCCGGAGGCACGAACGCATGTTCTCAAGTTTCGGGTGCCACATGTATCTGTCAGCGGGCCAACGACAAAACATCCGAGGAGAACTCCATCGAGTCATATGCATGCAAGCCCCTTTCTCAACAGAGAAAGGCACATCGCAGAATCTGTGTGGAACGCTTGTTCGAATTGTTGGGATCACAGGTTGACACTCATGCGTCGGCCCTTTTTCCCTCTCTACAATGCCCCCCCCCCCCCCCATTCATTTAGTCTATGGCCTTGTGCTCACAACGCACACGGGGTTGCCAAGCTTGCTTGCATGTGTACCCCCGACCAGAGAGTGCATCTTTCTGTGTACCCATGCTCCCAAGACGAGTACACTGATGAGCCATTTTAGGTGGCCCTGTTGTGTGTTGCATGCGTACCACAAACCAGCATGTCGCTGCGCAGGGCACCATGCATGCAAACCAAGTCACACGTCCTGTTCGTAGAACTGTTCATTGAAACCATCACAGCATGAACTCATTGCAACCACCTCTACATTGTTCTCCATGCGACTCACACAACCCACTGCACAAACCCGTCGTGTTTCACACGACGCCAGGTCACCGAGACGCACAAAACACACATACACAGGGAGAGAGAGAGAGAGAGAGAGAGAGAGAGAGAGAGAGAGAGAGAGAGAGAGCGGTTTCAATCGGCGACGACACCATGAACCGATTCATACTCGCGTTGCAAAAGTGTCGAGGGTGTCTGATCAGTTCTCGACGACTCAGGTGCGTATCACACCAAGTGCGCACCCTGAGATCTCCCCTATTCCAAATCGCCCCGATGCATCACCAAGTAGTGGTTCCATCAGGGAGCCAAGCAACAAGACATGAACTACAAACAACAGCTTTCGCCCGGCCATTTCGAACCAGCCTCTCGTTCACAAAAGAAACCGGCCGGGCCTTCACACAACGATCTCCTCTAGGGAAAAAACGACTGCCGCAACACTACAAAAGTCAACCCACAGCAATAGCTTGCAAGTCACGGTGTGAGCGAATCAGGGCCACATTTTCCTGACACCCGACCACCATTGCCATGTTTTCCATGCTGGCACAGCACCGCACTACAGGACGTCACGTCCACGGTTTTACTGCTGTACTACTATGACGCCGAGGCTACCCGTCATGTCCGAAATGTGCCGGGACGGGCGATATGTTCTCCTTCGACCAGAACACCACGCTGCGGTCTTGAGAACCCCTTCCTGCTGGCTCCTCGAGGCCCAGGTCTTCAACGCTGGGCCCAATTGGAACGATGCCTCCTGGATTAAGGGGGCTGAACAACGCCGCAGCGGGCGACCGTCAGTGGGAAGCGGGCATAGGAGCAAGGGAGGATGTCATTGAACGGGTTGAGGACGGTTGAGAGAAGCAAGAGAGCACCTCCCTGTCTGAACTATCCGAAGACAAGCTCGAGTGTGATCTCTCAAGACCCTCCACCACTTCTTTAAGCGACGGCCGGCATCGTGGCCAAATCACTTCTCCGCGTGGGTGAAAGCAAGCGTTTCAGTTTTCAGAACGACGCAGGGGTTTACCCTAACCCCAACCCTAACCTCTCTCACAAGAGTTGCGCGAAGTAGGAGCGACGACAGCCGTCGATATCGATCGTTTCCGCCACACCCGGGAGCTGATAGACGTCTCTCAGCCACGCGTGCAACGCCGGGTAGTCGCGCCATCGCCTGGTCGTGAATCACGCACACGGAGATGACAAAGGAAGAACAATGTTGATCTTGCAAAGCTAGTCTGGTACGTTCAAGTTGTCCGTTTCGCTTGCTGCCGCCCGAAGAGAGGTATCGAGGGACTGCTACTGTCATACAAGTCTGTCGTACCCTTAACAGAGCACGGGATGGCAGCAGTGGATGCGGCGTCCCAAAAACTGAAAATTAAAGATACCCAAAACAAAAACAAAACGTACCCAACCTGCAGTACGTATGTTTACTGCTAGTCGAGACGAAAATGGAGCAGGCATGCAGATATAGTGTACCTCCAATGCAAGAGCATCCTCTCTCTGCGACAAGCGCAAACCAGGGGCACAATCCCTTGTAGTCTGATGCATACACAGCGGCAGCGTGGCTGCTACGATCCCTCATCCATGCGCACAAACAGCCAACGATTGTCCGTGTACGTGACCATGAACCCGTGAAAGTTGGCCACTGTGTGCTAGCAATTCGGATTAGATCACACGTCAGCATCGAACATCGTACCCCATCCCCGCCATTGAAATCAAGCATGCTAATAGCGGGTGCCATACCCTTCATCCTGCTGCCCTACTCACGCAGCCTTGCCTCAGCGCGTCCGACAAATGAAGCCGTTCACTCGGCCACCGAAACAAGACAAGAGAGCGACGCATGGGCACTGGGCATACGAAACCCTTGCGGTTTCCAAGCAACTGTCTTTCTCGCAGGGGTGGCAAGAGTACTGTATACTGCTGCAGTGGCCACTAAAACCCCAGCACATTGCCACCTCATCGCAGGCGCCGCCACCGCACACCCCTACCCTCGTCAACAATGGTCTGAGCTCAGGCGTAAGAAGGGCAAGCAATACTGTACCGCACGCAGGAAGCCTTAAAATAAATGCCGCCCACCCAACGCTCTTTCGCGTTGCAAAGCCCGTACACCCTGCCCTTCGATCTCTCTCGCTCTCTCTCTCGCTCTCTCTCTTCTCTCTCTATCACCCTCCCTATCGGTCCCTCTCTATCACCCTCCCTATCGGTCCCTCTCTCACTTGTTGGAGCACTTGAAAAGGGTGGCGTACACCGCGTCGAACCGCACCGCGGTGGGGATGAGCCGGAGATCTGCCTCTGTGAACTTGTCGCCCAACAGGAACCTACTCTTGGACAGGATTTCCTCACACTTCGTAAGGCCTTCGAACACGTCCCTGCAGGCCTGTGTCGTTCGCGCAGCACGCGTAAAGGGGTGTGGGGGTGTGCCTCTATTGTTAGCATCGACAACGCTAACCGGCTGACCGAGGAAATATACGTCACTGCGGCTGAAAACGAACACGCTTTTAAATACCGTGATCAGGGGCTCCGTGAGAGGGAGGGTCAAGGGTGGGGCTAGGTTATTCTCCGGATTGAAGTCACAAACGGTAGCACATGAAGAGGTGTGCGTGCGTGTAAGTTTTACGATAGCGAAGAAAGCCGATTCGTTTTCCGAAGGCAGTTCTCTCAAGTGAATTTTCTATGAACGTGATCCCCCCCCCAACAACACAAATAACAGACAAAGTCCACGCTAAACCTAACGCACAAACGAGACGTAACCCACGGCTTCACCCGAACAAGTACAAGGCCTTCCTACGATCGGGCTGGTCTGACGGGCGCGCACACGGGCACCGGCCGCGCTTAGCGTTCCTGACGGCACGGCGCCCTAGCATGGCAGTGTCCACGCACATTCCAACAACTATGCCCGTTCGCGCCCAATGCGCGCCGAGCCAGACTCTGCCCACCCCCCCTGAATAAGGGTCACTCACCTTTTCGTATGCCGCCTGCGACGTGGAAAACCCTGCTCGGTAAACGCCATTGTTGATCTGTGGGCAACATGGGAGGGTGTCGGAGAGACGATGACGGATAGAATTGTACGACAATAGCACGAAGTCGCTGGCCGCTGAAAAACTGCTAGGTTAGCCGGAAAGGTCGATAAACGAATCGTTTGTCTTTTGTCAACCATCGCAGGGGAAAAAAGCCTCAGAAGCACCCGTGCCTACAGGGGAGGGAGTAGAGACGCCGAAATAGCCGCACAAGTAAGTTCATGGCTGAATGGAATGCACAGAGAAAGGGGTCGGGTAGAAATCGGCTAGGTACACATTGGCGCCGTTTTCGTTCCCGATTTCGTTTGTATGGCCTGACCATACTTGTGCAGGGCTACTCGCGACGCAAAAGCAGCAGTTGCTGTCCGGACGTACATAGTCATAACGTGTTGCAGGCGGCGCATTGTGTGAACGGTAGACAGTAGTAGTGACAGCACTATGGAGCGAAGCAGAGCAACGGCATACCACTCCACTCCAGGCCTCACCACAGCACGGCTCATTCACGAAAGCTGCACATCGTAAAATCAGGAACATTCCCTTTTCTACGACCGTGCAGTACGTAAATGACTCGCGTCCACCCACTACTAATAGGGAGCGACAGCTTACGAACAGAAGACCAGGGTAAACCTATCGTCATAACTGAACACAGCAGGTGAGCCATAGCCATTAGGACAACCGTTTTCTCCCTACATCCTGTATCCACGGGCAGACAGACATGAGTTCGCGTGAGTGTTTTCCTGCAACGATTTACCGTTTTTCTTTACAACGAAATCCAGGTGTGAAAAATCAATCGTCGCCACCAATACCTTTTCGTAAACGAAGTCGTTCATTTCGTCGATCTCCTTCTCCAACGAGGCCGGACACAAGTCCACCCCCATGACGCCGTT